GGCAGGCTAATACACGTTAGCTGCTGCCGTCTTGTTTCCCATTTGGGGAGACATCTGTAGGCTAGGGGGTCTTTCACCGTGACCGCGGTGCCGACACTTTGTTTTAAAAATGTCGATTAAGTAGGGCAGAGATGTCCGAGTTTACAGCCGCAGAATGAGACCAGATAGGCTTTCATTTCGAGACCAGGCTAACACATGAACAAAGATGGCGCTGACAGCGAGGAACGTTGTGTCTGCGGGTATGTGACGTCTTTATAAGTTGGTTACTGGAGACCAACGTGATTCAAATGTTAAAATCAATAACTGATAACAGTTTGTCTGTCCGTGAATCATTTTTACTAATCACTAAATACTTAATGGAGAGCATTTTGGGCACTGCTGGGTTTTCAGCCACGCGCGCCTCCTTAGCAGAGGCGGCTGTGTGGGGTTTTTGGCCGAGGGCCCCGGTCATTTCTCCCCTCCCTGCCGCAGCTGTGTTTTGAGAGGACGGTGCGTGCGGGCAGCAGACAGCCATTTTGTTTATTTCCTGCTCCATTAGAACCCCTGACATACATGAAAACAGATGTGTTTTACTAACTAACTCAGGGTGAAATGTGAAAATTATTTCATTTGAAGACAAAGAAGTGGAACTTAAATCTATGAAACTTTTGGGAAAATGTTATGTGCTGAAATAATTTTTTTCCCCTCATTTGTTTGTTTTTTGTTTAAAATGGTTCAGCCAGTGCTTTTATTTCAAAATTGTGATTAGATCATTCTCCCTCAGGAGAGGGAGATGTTTGCTGTTTTGTTTCACCTTTTGAAATGAGATGCAGAGTTTTAAAAGAGAAACATTTGTCTCTTTCTGACCTGAAGACTGGGTTACATGCCATTTAAACATATAAATGAATTATTTCTAACTTCTGGGAGGAAGTAGAATAAGGAACAAGGTGATTATTATTTTTCTTCTTTCTTTATTTTATTGTTTATCTGAGATTTAAAATTACTTAATGATGGAGCAGCATTTAATGGGCAAAAAAATGTTCTAATACCATACATTTTACTGAGAAGCTGCTTCACCAGTCAGTTTGAAAAGCTGCTTGGATTAAATAGAACTGTTTCATTGATAATATTTTGTTTTGTTTTGTTTTGTGTGTGTGCTGTTTTTCATGTGACGGATGAGGGAGTGTTTTCCTTGGTGGTCCTCTGCTCTTTTCTGCGTTCCACTCCGCCCACCGGAGACCCGAAGATCTGGACCGACGATGGACATTCTGGAGAATGGACAGAGTTGCTGAGGCCAGCACTGAGAACGACGAAGGCCTCCCGTCGTCCTGACCAGCAGAAGCTGTTCTTCACCTACAGGCAGCTTGAAGGTGGACGCACCCTGTC